GCGATCTTTGATGTAGAAAATATTAACCTTACTGTGTTAAGTCCGCAGCCAGTGCATTTTGATCTTTCGCGTATGGAATTTCAACGGATTCCAATTAGACGATGGAAACGGGAAAGAAGGAGAGAAAATACTTGGAAATAGACACTCACCCGCTGCTGAGTCGTGTTTCTTGAACGTTAGAAAGAAATTTCTAAGCAGCTGCTGAATCTTGCCGCTACTTTGATTCTTCAAGAGTGAATGGCGGTTTGAAGCGGGAACGCAAGTGAACAGGCAGCCTGGCGCCATCTACCGGCACCGCGGAGAAACCTGTTGCAATATGACCCGCTACTTAAATAGACCCGTTATGTTCATTGCTTATTATTATTGCTATTATATTGTTATAATATTTTATGATTATCTTCAAATATTATCTTCACGCTACAATCCGGCGGATCGACTACCTTCTTTTCTCTCCAATGACAGCTGAATTTCAAATTAGAAGAAACATTGGGTGCGTTCAGAAGACACAACTGTTGCACAACGGTTGAGTAATTAGTCAACATAATTGGTCTAAATTTAGGGATCTAACAGTAAGGACCAATAATCATTGAACGCTCACTGATCAGCTATGTTTTCTGAACGCAGCAATTGTATTCATCAGCACTCGACGACGAATCAGACGAACTTGTGATTCCGCGATGACATGGCTGGACAGCAGGATGGATAAACTGTCTCTTTGTTAATCAACGAGGAATAAAAGTCTATGGACGCAAGAGTTGATTAAATTTAAATATATCGAGATAATCGTTTAGAAAAACGAAAGGAATCGAATATCGACTCGTCGGTCACATATCGATTATCTCCCACCACTGAGCGCTATAGCTGACTTCCGCTTATTTAAATGTACCCAGAGCCATCTATTGAGAGAGAGAGAAAGAGAGAGACTTCCGCTTAGTCTTTCATTTTCGAGCGACTCGTAAACATGGCACCGGTAAGTTTGTGCTTCGTCGAAAAAGCCGGAATTATTCGCGATTGCGGCGGTATCTCTTCGAAATAACATTGAAATCATAGAAAACATGTGCGATTTCTTGATTATGTCGTAACAATCTCCCGACTTTATCTCTAGATCGGTCCGATTGTGTTGGATTAGCGTGACGTGTCGCCCGATAACGCATGTGTTCTGTACAGAAATTACAAGCAACACAATCATGTACAAAGCTCCGTTTGCGAATTTTCAGGCGCCGAAGAAAACCAAGGGTCCCGCCAAGAAGCAAGTCCTTCGGGGCAAGGGACAGAAGAAGAAGGTGTCCGTGAAATTCACGATCGACTGCACTCATCCTGTGGAGGATAATATCATGGACGTAGCAAATTTTGTAAGTCACAGCATCATATCCTGATACACAAATCTTATAGTACATCGTAATATTTCTTTTCTGAAGTGCGGGAATACCATTTAAAGCACTTATTTCGTAGCTAGCTCGACGCTACCTACATAACCTATTTTCTCGACTCTCTAACCTGTACAGTAGGTTGCAAAACGAAGTCTGTTCTTTTTAGTTAAACTGCCTGAATTGGTGCCATAAGTTAGGGTGAAACAAAATATAGTTGTCTCTAACAATTCAGACAGTTCAGCTAAAAACAACAGATGTACAGTTCAGATACAATGAATTTCAGAATGTAGCCGATGATCCAATAAGAGGACGAATTATTAAAAGATAAGTTCTCTCATTAGGTTATCAGCTACGTTCTGGAGTTCTCTAAACTATTTTACGACTCACTGTATGTACATATCAGCCAGTTGTGTTAGAATTTAAACCAGTGACTTGATTATAAATCGCAATCACTGATTAGATTTTAGTATCACATTATTGTGAAGATTAATAATTGCATATTAATTTCCAGGAAAAATATTTGCATGAAAGGATCAAGGTTAATGGTAAGACCAATAATTTTGGTAATAATGTTACATTGGAGCGCAACAAGATGAAACTTTCAGTCAACAGCGATGTTGATTTCTCAAAGCGGTGAGTAATGTCGTGTTTCTTTGACCATATTGATTATAATGTTGATTTTGATTATAATATTGATCATGAAAATTATAAAGGAGTTTTGTAACTGTTCACTGACATGAAGTAACGACTCCTTTTGCTATTATAAGCTACAAAAAGAGCGATATTTGCACTAATTTGGAGAATTACTTTGATAGGTACCTCAAATATTTGACAAAGAAGTACTTGAAGAAAAACAAGTTGCGTGATTGGCTGCGAGTTGTATCAAAAGACAAAGATACGTATGAATTACGATACTTCCAGATTAATAGCCAAGAAGACGACGACGAGGAGGATGCCGAGTAGAACGTTTTTTAATCTTTTAATATTCGGTTTCAGACGTATCTGTAAATAAACCTACCAATGAAAAACAGAATCTACATGTTTTATTTCTGGAGTACATATCTCTCTCTCTGAAAGATGCAAATTATTTCGTATTTTTCCATCTCAAGTTATGATATATTCATGTTTATACACATGTATACTTCGACTTTAAATCATGTTATGATCGATTTAGTAGTTAAAATGTAAATATTTAAAATATGTAGAATTGTAATCCACTTATTAGCAACTCTGTCGAGTTAAAAATCTAATTTATAGCTCTGCTTCCTATTTTTTTGTTTTCTGGTTTAAGTAAAAAAGAGATAAAGAGAAAGAAACTGAGAGCATATCTTAATCGCAAAAAGTCAGGAGAAAGTTATTCTGAATGATCCATTCGTTAATAATTTCGCATCTGCTACGTAACACTTGAATGTGTCCGAGCAACTGCACCCCAATTACACCTCGACGGTCACTTTCATCGTTCCTGTGTACACTTTATTGCACTTTTGCTAGAGTGAAACAAGTGGTTGCTCAAAATTTCTAGAAAGAGGGTCTAAAAAGCAAAAGTACGAAGAGGGTGCAGCCGAGATCAGAGTTTCCGACTGATTTCTGGTTTTTCGACGTGGTAGAACGTTCGCGAAATTCGTCCCGCACGAAACGCACTACTTGCGCGCGGCGGAGGATCGCGGCGCAGAACAGCTGCGCAGTGCGCAGTCACAGTGACGCACGGCGATTGTTGTGACAGAGTGTCCCCGAGAGAGTATCGTGTCGCGTCTGGTCGAGTAGTGTTGTCATCGTCGTGGTCACCTCTTTCAGCCAATTGAGGCGAGTCGGAAGCAGTAAGTCGAGAGTCGCGATTAAACAGGGAACACGATCGAGACGAGGAACGTCGGTGTCGTCGCGCTGCTGTCCCCTGGCAAGCGGGGATCATGAAGTTCCAATACAAGGAAGAGCATCCGTTCGAGAAACGGAAGGCCGAGGGTGAGAAGATACGACGGAAATACCCTGATCGCGTGCCTGTGAGTACTCTTGCGACCTTTTTCGCAACGTTTCACTGTTATTCGCGCGACGATTGATGATCGAGACCGTTCTCTCTTTATTTCTCTTTCTCTCTCGCGGGAGAAATTTTTAGACTGTCACACAACACAGAAGTCTCGGCCGCGCTTTCGTAAGGTATTTCCCGATCGGACGGAAACCAAGGTCGCCTTTATTGCGCGTCGTCGTTCCAACTCGTGCTTCTCGATGACGAAGCGCGATTCTCGTCGCGGGCCCAGGCACCTGGCGCGACACGATCGCGACGAAATTACGCCTTTTCGCGGCCCTTTTTTTCGTCGACCCTCCTCCCCGCGTTGTATTGATCCGTTACGTGTGTAACCGATGAACTTTCGTGCGTGCCGAGCGGCTCGCGCTGCACCCGTGCGAAGAAGATCGTCTGATCGCGATCTAGGCGGTAGATTACGGTAAACACACAAAGGTGCTTATCAGTTTTGGCAGCTGATCGCGATCATGAGGTGAACGTGCAACCGCGCCATTACACTCACGTCAGTACGAAGGGTTGCGTTATCGGGAAGCCCTTCCCTCTCACTCGCTCCCCTTCTCCCGAGACGTAATTTCTCCAAACTTTCCACCCACGTCGAAAGATTAAAAGGATACTTCCGTGATCGCGATAATATTCGGCATCAGCACGCACAGAACTGCTTCTGACTCACGCTCATACCAGTTTTTATCAGCTTTAGTTAACTAGGCTTGTTATTCCAACGAGATTGATCAATCACACTTCTGTTCACATCGGAATTGACAGATGCAACTGGTGAATTCCGTTGGGACGACCAACTGGTTGGGTTAACCAAAATTGGTAAAAACGAGTGTCAGAGCGATTGTGTGAACATCGAAATGACCAAACGTGTCAGCGGGATTGTGTCACCGCGCGCGTGATGCATTGATCACACATGACAACAGTTTTCAAGGGAAAACGTGCACGCGGTCGACGTACAGCTCGAGCGCGCACGGATCCTGTTATTTAACGATTGGATGAGATTCAAAGCTCGATAGTCGAGTTTTGAGGCTCGAACATTAGTTGCATATTTCGAACTGTACTCGGATTTCGGCAAAGTGCCAAAGATTTAGCCTAGTCACTCGTCCTCCCATACTCTGCATACTCGTCGATGTTGGTTGAAATTCGGCTCACTCGGGGAAACGAGAATTTCAAGCATTTATTCGATTGAATTTCGTCGAGAAATCACACAGACATATTCTGAATGTTGTTGTAGGTGATAGTCGAGAAGGCACCAAAAGCAAAGATAAGCGATTTGGATAAGCAAAAGTACCTGGTACCATCTGACCTCACTGTCGGTCAGTTTTACTTCCTAATCCGCAAAAGGATTCATTTACGTCCCGAGGACGCCTTATTCTTCTTTGTCAACAACATCATTCCCCCAACAAGTGCAACTATGGGTTCTCTTTATGCGGTAATTAAGATGAACGATATATGCTAGCAATGTACATTGAGTAAGATTAGCTTGATTTATTTTTGCAATTACTTACGTGTGATTTTTTTCGAAATTTCACCAGGAACATCACGAGGAAGATTTCTTCTTATACATAGCCTACAGCGATGAGAATGTGTATGGTAACTAAACCTTCTGGGACGAGCAAATTGCCAAAACAAAAAGAAAGGATTCAACAGCAAAAATCGACCATCTCAACGTAGTCCTCATAGACGCTTTCGAAAGTGTATACAAAATTACATCTATCAAATACACTATGTGTAAAAATTTATGTCTGGAAACTGCACACTACATTTGCTTCTACAAAACATAACTGTCCACATAACTGTCCCTTAAGGATAAAAAAGAAAAGATATTTCTCTTCTTAATTCCATTCTGTCTCTGCCACCTGAGAGGGCTTAGGTCACCGTAGGATGTAAGAACGTCTAACCCATGCAGAATTATGTGATTGTATGTAATACTTAGTCATTGAGGGAGCATTGGCCATTGAAGAAAAGGTGAAAAAAACGAAAAAAAAAAATAATCGAGTGGAAAAAAGTCTTTGTATTGCCAAATAGAACTTGCTGTTCATTTATGTTTTAATGCACATTACGACGACTCTATGAATTTATCATTGTATTAGAAATTTGGAATATTTTATAGATGACAGATATATCAGACTTGTGTACGCGACATTATCCTCGATTTAGGCTAGTGTTATTCTTTTACATTATTACATCATTTGGTCACAAGGAAGAAAAAAAGCGACGAATTGTTGGATATGTAAGCAGGAGGGAAAATTTTCTGTAATGGCTGAATGTAAAGCCAATAAAAAAAGTTAAAACGCGACTTATTGCCGAGTACTTTCTCTGCCTTCGTTTTGTTCGTAGAGATATTTCCTTCTTGGTTTTACGTCCGCCAATCCCTTCCTCCTCTGATAGAGGGCATCAACTTGATCGGTTGCTGATAGAAACGACATGCCTATTACAACAGCCGCTGTCAGGCTTGTTTTGCCCGTACATCCTGAATTATTAACTTGTTTGTCACGAGCGAACACTACCTGTATAACGACGTATACTATATGTATAACGACGAGGAACGACCAAATTCGGCAGTCGATTCGCTTCCATCAATCGAACAGTTCGGATACCATGGAAGAAACCGGTGACGAGAAAAACTTCACGAACATCACTAATGTGAGATACGTCAGTCCGTTGTATAATCTCAGTCAGGAGGACAGCAACTGGATCGTCACGAGCTCCTTTATGATCTTTACAATGCAAACAGGTAACATCAAAAATAGTAACGCGACATTATCCACCTCGTCTCATTTCGTCAAAGTGCAAGGATACGATTTGTACACAGAAAAGAGAGATATAACGCAGTTAAGCACAAATATTTAGCTCTATGAGCAGCATAGTTGCATCACCTTAGTTATCTTTATGTATAGTTACTTTGGTACGTCAATGTAGTTGGGCGTGATCTAATTGTGGCAGCCAAACATCGGTTGGAGTGACAATTACATGGTTGAAACAACCAGATATCATCACTGCTGCAACGCCAGTAACTCGGCGATAGCTCTGTGGTCGCAGCAACCACATGGTTGTTCCGTATTTTACTATTAAATCTAATGGGCACAACCAGATTTGTTCGAGTCAACTGTACTGTTTTTTCCATTTCATTTTCATTCATTCGCAATTATGTGCAATCCCATTGAAGCGCTCTCACGCAAAGGTTTCGACATGCCGACAGGTTTCGGCATGCTGGAGTCCGGCTGCGTCTCCTTGAAAAACGAGGTCAATATCATGATGAAGAATGTGGTCGATATTGTACTCGGCGGGCTGACCTATTGGTTCTTCGGATTCGGATTCAGTTTCGGCTTGAAAGAGCCCAACAATCCCTTCGTCGGTAACGGAGGCCTGTTCATAGATCCTCCGATTGATGACGAGTACATGGGTGGGATCTGCGCCGCGTTCCTGTTTCAATTGAGCTTCGCCACCACTTCGACGACCATCGTCAGCGGTGCTATGGCCGAACGGTAATTGATAACGCACAAGCGATCGCAATGATTGAGAACAATCGCTGTAGCTTCCTCGTGCATCCTGGTGAATCGTTTCCAGGTGTAACTTCAAGGCTTATTGCATCTTCTCGTTTCTCAACACCATCGTGTACTGCTTGCCGGCCGGCTGGGTCTGGGGCGATCACGGTTTCCTCAATCGTATGGGAGTCGTCGATATCGCAGGCTCGGGACCGGTCCACCTGGTCGGCGGTATTTCAGGTAAAATTGATTCTTGTCATGTAAGGTAAAATTAATTGTCACACATCGATTGATTTCGCGTGACACAGTACGTCACATTCACTCGGCAATTTGATCACAGCGCTCGCCTGCGCCATCATGCTGGGTCCTAGAATAGGCCGATACGACAACGGCATCGATCCTTTGCCGCTCGGATGCCCAGTCAATGCGATTATGGGACTGTTTGTGCTATGGTAAAGAACATAATCGGGGATTTGGACCCGGATGGACTCGCAACACGATGATGTGATTGTAAATCGCAGGTGGGGCTGGTTGGCCTTCAACAGCGGCAGTACTTACGGGGTAACCGGCGATCGGTGGCAGTATGCCGCTCGCGCAGCCGTCTCCACGATGATTGGCAGTATGGGAGGCGGTCTGATCGGTCTGGGATTCAGCTTGACAAATCCGAACGGAATCGATATCCTCAGTCAGATAAACGGTATCTTAGGCGCGCTGGTGGCGATTACAGGTACGTAACTGATCATGTTGCAAAAGAAGAGCGAACAATTTCCGCTCGATTTCTAAGAACCCGTTGCCATGTTGCGTTAGGTGGTTGCTTCCTGTACAAAGCTTGGGAATCGATGATCGTCGGAATGATAGGCGGCTTTATCACATGCATCGTGATGCCGATATTAGATAGGATTCACATAGACGATCCTGTGGGAGCTGCCGCCACTCATGGTGCGTAATCCTTATAATTGTTGAATAACGGCTTTTTCAGAAACAAACTCGAACGTTAAGGAGAAATAGCAAATAAGAGCCTTATATAGTTGGTACACACAATAATTTATATGTTATATATATGTTATATTTCAATCAGTAACTTTTCTTAATTGTTCTGTAATATCAGTGATAGAAAATGATGTCCATCGGAGAAGTCGAGTTAAACATGCATAAAACAAAGATTTTTTTATACGTAATTGTGTCGCATGAGTTCGTGTACGAAATCAACGCATTGAATTCCAAGACACTAAATTCTTTATCGTCGTAAGTAACCTGATGGAAATATTTTATTGAAATATTTACAGAAAATTTCTCTCTCTCAATTAACCCCTTTTCATTAAAATTCAGAAAAATTCATTTTTTTTAAGATTTATCAAAATTCGTAAAAGTCATTAAGATTTATTAAAATTCATAAAATTAATTTTATTGTTATATAACAATAAAATAAATTTTACGAATTTTAATGAATTTTAACTAATTTTGAAGAATCTTAATGAATTTTATAAACGTAATGAATTTTAATGAAAAGGAATCAATTCAGAGATTTCAGTAAAATATTTCCATTAGGATATTTTATATGTAAACAATGTGCGTACAACACATATCGCGTAGGCAAAAGTAACGTGTAAACAATGTAAATAACCGCGTACGCGATAATGGGCGATGTATATTCGCGTTTGTTTTAAATACAGGCGCAAGTGGCATTTGGGGAGTCGTGGCAATCGGTTTGTTCGCTGATGATCCATATCCCCTTGATACTACTAGTGGGAGAAAGGGCTTGTTCAAGGGTTCGTACACGACAATAATTGTGCTAATTTCGCTCCGAGTCGTTTGCCCTCATCAATTCTTCACGATCCTTTCATGAATTCTCAGGAGGCGGCTGGTATCTCTTAGGAGTGCAGAGCTTGTCTGCGCTTTGCCTGGCAGTTTGGAGTTTCTGCAGCTCGATCGTGCTGTTATGGGTAACGTGTAGGACTAGATTTAAAGAAAGATATCGAATGAAGCATTATTAAAGTAAGATGCGTTCGCTTTCTCGCAGATGATAGACAAGATTATACCGATTAGAATGACGGTCTACGAGGAGGTTCTCGGAGCAGATCTCGTAGAACATAGGATACGCCATTCAAAGGTAGTACATTCGATTTTTCGTGCCTCGAGTTCTCGAATTTTTCAATTTCTATTTTCACATCCGATCTGATTTGCAGATAGGCATTAGTCGCGCCGTGTCAGCATTGCGTCCATTCACTATGGAGGAGAGACTGCAGAAAGTACCTCCCGCGGGGATAAATCCTGGTGAGATGAGATTATCTTCATTTCACAAAACAACACTTCTACACACTTCTACAACTGACTACACGTATTTCTCATACGTATATTTCACAGGTCACGATTCCTACGTTTCTCGTCTGAAAATCAAGAAGCTTAAGACTTTTGCAAAGTCCGCTAAACGACAGCCGTCAAAGAAACTGGTGGCGAGAAACTCTCAGATCAAAACGATCGCTGGTTCCGAGCTGCCGGAAGCAAAGTCGCCGTTTGCTTGGATGGATTAAAAATAAAGAAAGGAAGGAGAGACTCTCTCGTAACACAGGATTTATATTAATACTCAGTCGAATGTAAATTTATTACAAATGTATAAACGTATACACGTACACATTCTAGATATTCCAATTTTTACGCATTCACGCTAATAAATATTGAACATACACACGCACGCGCGCGCACACACACAGACACACGACACAGAGATAAATGAGTATGATAGATCACAAAGAAAGTAAACTCTTACACGATACACTGTCTGTGGCACGGGTATTGTTTCAGTTAGATAGCTAATTATCCGTAACACTTTTTGACAAAGTGCTTATATTAATATATTATTCATAGGAAATAAAATATTTCCATAAATATTTATGTATTCTCTATCGATGCTTTTATATGCCAAGAACGATTATACCGGACGTTCTACTTCGTATATATGTATATTAGCAGGAACTGTCCCTGAAGACCACATTTAGTACATATTCACAAAATACCATTTCCTTTTAAGTCAGACGTTGCATTCTAGCGTATCAATATTTACAATTTCATTATTCATTGTTCAGAACGATCTTCTGTTCAAACAAAGATCTCCTAAACAAAGGATGTTTAGAAGTCTATCATGAACTATAGATTCAGTAATTACTGCAAAAATGGGGACTGGATATATATATATATATATATATATATATATATATATATATATATATATATATATGTGTGTGTGTGTAAGAGTGGAAGATCCATAAGCACTTCTGAAATGTATAAGACTATAGTATCACACGTTTCTTGGAGGGCATAATATTTCGTTTTTATGGCGATCGTTGAAATTAAAAACATGAATATACACGTACCGAGTACGCATAACAGGTGATTACGGTCGACATAGAAAAAATGTACTTAAGAGATTAGTACTGCTTTTCTTTTTTCTACTACACTAAACTAAGTACCTATTGATCGTGTCTATTGATCTAATAGAAAACACCTTAATATTTAAACTTGTTCTACGAGAACGTCACTAGATAGAAAAAAAAACGTACTGTGTAGCTTTATGGAACACAATAGGTTTGGTGCACGTGAATTCGTGAGTACACCGTCATTATATATTGCTCGCAGCCCACTGAGACACTTCTGTGGGAAGACCCGGGTAATTTTTCACAGCCTCCATAACTTGCTTCGATGTTAATGTGAATTTGTAATACTGATACTCCTTCTCGACTCTCATATTCGAATTCCCAACTGGCGACAAAATCTCCAAGTTCTAAAGAATGCACGACGTTTATCTGACTTGCGATTCATATATACTCTTATTAAGAAAATGATATGAAAGTATCTCTTACCTTGATATGCTCGAAAGCCTTCATGATCACCGGTTTCTGAACAGATTGTATAGAGGAATTCTGATTTGCGAATTTGATGTAACGATTGTAAATAGTCTCGAAATTCACTGGTTCGCCGTCGTAAATTTCTGCCTCCTGTTTCATCGCTATTATCTATGAAAAAATATTGTTTTATTGTCAAACATATATCGGTTGTACATTCAGAATTGGGAAAGTTATTTTTTGGAAGTAACCCATTATTGTGCTATCATTACTTATTCTAGAAAATAATTGGTTAACATCACCATTATTAAAAAAGTAATGAGTTACAGCTATCTTTATTTTACTAACAAAAATAAAGATAAGATTGAGAAAAGATTGAAAAGATTTAACTTGTAACAAGTAATGTCTTACTTCCCAATATATAATAGTTGTATACTGCAGCTGATATACGTACCAAGCACATTTCTAAAATGGACAATCCTTCGAGCATCAGCACCTTGTCGTCCTGCGAGAAGATCTTGCTCGCCTCCACGAAATCATTCACTTCTAATTTCTGATGTTTCTCGGATAATGTCGACACAGCCACCGCGAGAAAATTTCTAAAGCGTCTTTCGCTCACATCGATATGATACATTCTCTTCAGCAGATTCACCATCGTGACGTTAGTGGTTAAACTCTTAATGTACTCATTCCACATAGATCCAAATTGCGGATCTATCGTGCAATCGTCGTATTGCTGCTCTATCTTATTTACATTCTCGTCGTCGGGTAAGCTCAGAAGGTGCTGAAAGAGCTCCAAGCGATCGTCGAATGCAGACGTGGGTTGCTCCGTTGAAGTGTCGCCGGGTAAGAGGAATATCTGACGATACGAGAATCGGGATTTCACTCGCTTCTCCAGCAGCTCTATGACGTCTAATCTGCAAGTTATCCCCAGCACACATATCGGCACCTGTAAAATAAATATTTTTGGTTCGTATGAAATCCTCGCGGAATCTCCTTCACGCAAAGTGATACTTGGATATTCACCTGCGCTGATTGAGCGACATCAAACAGATTGTACAACAGTGTCTGATTGTGATGCTCACAAAACAGATCGAATTCATCGAGTATGAAGATAACCGGCTTCGAGCGTTTCTTATCACCAGATTTTAAACACTCCAAAAGGAAGCACAGATTCTCCGCAAACGTGCCAAAAACCTTATCACCAACTACATTCTCCAATTGCATTTGACGAGTTGTGTCCTTCAACGCTAACCGGTCATCGGTGTGAACTAATCCATGAAGATTCACTATCAGTGCGTTGTCCTTAAAGCTCTTCAAAGACGACAACTCCTTCAGGACACTGTTAATGAGCTGAAATTATACAAGTGAGATGTTAGTATTGATTGCACATATACCTATACTTTACATGGAGATCAAGAAAAATATCATACCGTTGTCTTCCCACTACCCCTAGGCCCAATTAACAATGCAGAATTACTTTCACCTATTTCAACGGTACGTTTCACTAATTCTAACACATGTAGTCGTTCCTTAACATGATGCCTAAATTTAGTCTCAGGACACATTATTTTACGCTTCAGATATTTTCGTGTCAGCAATATCATGTTATCCTGGAAGTCAATTGCCATATTTTTCTTCTTACTCATTCTCTTCTTCTTGCTGCACAATCTGCTACTAAAACACTAGGACACTGGAACACCTATGAATAATTGTGTTTATTAAAAATCTTAAAAAAAGTATGTCACTAAAACATTTAACAAATCAATAAGTATAAGCTTTTATAATGTCTCTTTAAATTATCGATATAATTTCAACGTCACGAGTTAATATCACTATAAATGTTTCACGATTGCGTTAATAATAATAACATGATAATTATATATTTCTTTTTATTCATCTCCAAGAATGAGGATATACGATATTTATAAATACAGCATATATTCAATGCGATAAGAAACATAACCCAGCTACCATGAAAGTGAAAATCGATGACTCGAAAACTGTATTTTTTGTATGAACTCACACGAATTTTTGGGATTAAATATTCAATCAATCACTCGGTCACGGTGTCGCGTGTCCCAACGTGAGAAATAACGCTGCTGAAGTAGTGAAAAAATAATCACTGGCCGAACAGACGCTGGTGGATGGTGTTTACGAAACAAACATGGATGACGCAGTGCAGCAGTCGGAGAAGAAGAACTGCACTTTTTTATTTAAAAGGCGCAAAATCCGGAGCAACGCTACAAGAAAACGGAAAGAGGCAGACAGCAATGACGGTAACAAATATCGATTTAAACGTGAGCTACTTATAGACGTCGCAATTCAATGAGACAAATTTGGACGAAGCAAAAGTTATAGGTTATGTGCGCGTAAACAGATTGTGCTGCCGATCAATGATTTTATTAATTTCTCTGCAGAAAGCAGCGAGGATGAGACCATGGTGGTTAAGAAGGAAAAGAAACAAGATGATAACAATCCTTTGATACAAAGTGTGAGTATTTCGCACATGACAATAATACATAACCTAACCTAACTTGTAACATTTGGCTTGTTGTATTTAGCATAAAATCAGCATGTATATCTTTGATATTTCTTGAAAATATATTCTTTGCTTTCCTAGACAAATGTGAAGAAACAACAAGAAAAGACTAGTTATGGTAATGATAGCGAGGATGACAGTGTGACTGTTTCGTACAAAAGCAGCAGGACTGCTCTACTAGCTGGTCCAAGTGATCAAGGAGCAACAGCTATCCTAGAAACAGAAACAGAGAAAGATAGGGATGCTCAAGCACTATTTGAGAAAGCTCAGAAGATAAATGAGGTATAAATTTTGAATAAATGATATCCACCGTGACCATGAATTCGACTCACTTAAAAAGACAATGTGAATAATATCCATTTCTGCTCATCAGGAACTAGAAGGAAAGGAGGATGACAAGATTTACAGAGGCTTGAATAATTATGTACAATATTATAAGAAACAAGATACAGCAGCAGGAAATGCATCTAGTGGAATGGTACGCAAAGGACCGATCAGAGCACCATCTAATCTCAGGGCAACAGTGAGATGGGATTATCAACCTGATATATGCAAAGATTACAAGGAAACTGGTTTTTGTGGTTTTGGAGGTACACGATGGCACAATTTAATTACTATCCCAAGTAATTTACTCTAATCTTTTGAAACCACTTTTATAAACTCTGCACTTATATTACAGATAGCTGCAAGTTTCTTCACGACCGCTCAGATTACAAATTGGGATGGCAATTGGAAAGAGAAGCTGCCAGTGGAGAATACAACAGTGGAGATGAGGATGAGAAGAAGTACGAGATTGACAGTGACGAAGATAACCTGCCGTTCAAATGTTTTATTTGTCGAGAGAGTTTCACAGATCCTGTTGTAACAAAGTTTGTATTACTAACAAAATATTCTTAATTGTTCAATGTTGTCGTTTACATGACTAATCTGCTGCTTGCTTCAGGTGCAAGCATTACTTCTGCGAAAAATGTGCTTTGGAGCACTACAGAAAGAGTACACGATGTTACATTTGCAATGTTCAAACTAACGGTACTTTTAATCCAGCGAAAGAACTCATTGCTCGAACGAAATTGGAGGATAAAGAACAGCCGGCCGCAACAAGTGAGGACTCCAGTGATGATTAATAAAATTAATTCCAGTCTTCACACATAAATATAGCGATTCTGTCATCATACATGTGATATCTAATACACATGTTATAAACCGTAATAATTTTGACACACAAATTGCCTCAGGCGGATCATCGACATTATTGTAGTTTCCGCAGAATGATAAACGGTGAGTGAACGATCCGGCAACTTCCAGACGATATTTCGGCGCTTTTCCTTTCAACTTGGCAATGTCTTTCGCGGAAAAGCGTCGAATTTGTATCATAAGTGCTTCGGACCAATAAAAACACCGACATGCGTATCCTCTACGTGACGAGCATTATATGATTCTATTTTGTATTTATCTAGCTTAGTCTGTCGCGTGTATATTTATAGCGAGTGGTGTTTTCAGGTCAAGAACAATATCTCTGTCTATATATGTAGCCGAGAGACCATGATCGTACAATCTTCATTCCTCAAAAAATATAAATATTATCGGGCGTCACGTATGTACACACGCATATGTGCGCGCGCGCGCGTACGGAGAAGCCCGCGCGCGTCGATCGGAGCAAACGTGCCACCTCGTAGCGGTCATCGGGCGTCGCGACGCGAATCGATACGCGCGCAGGCGGCGTCGGTGCGTGGCGGCACAACCGTGTTGTTTCTCCTCGTATGCGGTACGCGTCGTGAAAAATGTCACCGAGGCGATCGCTTCTCACAGGCTACCGCTGCCGCTGTTGCTGCCGGCGAACGTGCACGGTGTCCTCGCGGTGTCCGTGGCGGCGAGTGATCGCAATATAGGGTCGTCGCGAGATTAAAAAACATTACGGCGCGACGTCTCGTCGAAAAGCCTCTCGTCTCGCATTCGGTGGAGCGCGTCGCGACCGGTCACCGCGTTCTCCACGGTTCCACCGCCACCGCATCGATCCCCGACGACCCGGAAGTACACGGCGCGTGAACGAGACGCGACGCGGCACAGTCTTTTGGTCCGGGTCGCGTGAACAACGCGGATAAATCGCGGGGATAAATGCGAGCCCGCAGTGCGTGGTGTGTGTATGTGTGTACGTAGGTGCGTATGTGTGGATGACACGGTGATTCGCATCGCGCAGGATTTAACTCAAGATTACGCGAACGACCGGTGACGGCCGCGCTGGTTGTCGTAGGTCTCGACTGTTGTGGCACCGCCGAAAGCGAGTTTATCAAGATACATCAAGATATAATTCCGTCAAAGAGACGACGAAATAATCTCTCTCTTTCTCTTTGTCTCTCCGAAGAATCGCTCGAGGTATTCGTCGATGCGCGTCCTCTCTCTATGTTATGTAAATATCAAGAGGGATCAAGTGCCGACTGCGCGGAGACTGTGCCGATACGCGAAGTCGCGTCAGTACGAAGTTCGCCACTCGACGTGGCGGAAATCTCTCTTGAGTCGCGCGTTGCAAAATTATTCCGCGTAATCACTATGCAAAATTATGCGTAGTTCGCGTGTTCGATTGGCCGTGCTTGTCCTATCGGCGGCGTGCGAGGAGGCCGCGACGAGCGAATTTGACGAGCTATCGACATCGGCTGTCAACGAGGAGACGCGCTGCGTCGCGGCTGGTGCTGAATAAAACAGTGGACTTGGCTCGTCATTTCGGAACACTCTGGAAGTTATTGTCGATCATCTCCTCACGTTTTACGTCGACAGTGATGTTCTCGATCGATAGTCCGGCCGTGATCCATGAGCCTCGCTGACGACAATAATCACGAGCGGAGTCAATCGTCAAAGGCCGATGGCCGTAATTTTTCTCCGACGTTGAACAACTTGCGGAACAAAGACAGAGCCATTATCATCGGGCAGGTGCAGTATTTCACGGCGACATCCTATCAACCAGGTATGTGATTTACGCGTGACGCGATAAGGACGCCGATAAGCGGCTCTAATGACCTTAATTTACGCGCGAGCGCGTCGAAGAACGGCCCGTTGCTTATTTGTTCCCGTCAGCCGCGCCTCTTCTTTAGTATGCCACCCGATGTACCGCGATCTAGTCTAATTTCAAGCGCGAAAAATGCACGAGGCGCATCGCAGCCACCTACGGGGCGAAACGGACGACTCTCTCTTTCGTCCCAATTTTCGTTTCTGCACGCACGCCGATAATCGCGATCGGCCGTTATTGTTAATTTTACACGAGCGCGTACACGACGGCGTATTTTCGGCGTGATTCCTGCGTGCACGGTGATCGCCGTGGAATTCTCGCACCGGTGCACCCAAGAATAAGCTTCTTTATAAATTGCACGTCGCGATTTTCCTTCTGTTACGCGCGGCGTTTGGCTCATGTTCGTCAGCCGCATACTTGTCTACGAATGTCGCGTCAGCCCCACGTGTGACACGCACGTACATACATATGTTTGTATATACGTGTCTGTCGACGGTATAATCCCCGAATATGAAAAAAACAAAACAGGTGAAAAACGTGCGATTGCGTTGGTCCGTTAAAATGTAGACTCAGCTAGCTATTATTACATCTGAACACGTCAGACATCATACACAGAAAAGTACATAGTACTTAAGTGAATATTACTTGTTTTAAATGTCTGAGTAAGTATTCTGCAGAGAATATCAATTCTTCTTTTGAATATATAATCAAATAAGCCTCTCTAAAAGTTGTGACCAATATATTTTCAGACTATTATCAGGAAATTATTCTATGTTGAAGATAATCGTTACTTAAGAAAAGGAAACTGAGTAATCGCTTTTCTTAACAGTAGAATATTTTTCTATGTGCACGTATATAACTTGATCTTAGAACGGATGGCTTTTACACTCATAAGTGGGAATTATCTCGCCTATTGATTATCCCTATAGCAATCCAAAAAATCTAATGAGGTCACGCAGACAACTGCGACATGTTTCAGTGATGCATCATGAGAATATCAAAGCTACTGATGAAACATAGTCTGATAAGATAAGTGAGAAATTTTAACTTTTCTCGAGCTACGTGCAATCTCAGCATTAGTAGAATATAAAATGTTACTTCTAGCGCATTTTTTTTTTTTTGGAAGATACATTTTCAACCAAGAAACACTCAATCTCCTCAAAAACAGCAAAAAAACTTTAATTTGCCATTTAAAAAAAAAAACTTAAAATCAAGCAAAATCACCTAAATTTTACAAAAGAACTCAAATTTTCAAAATTTCTTAAAATTTCTAGCGCACTTAAAGTGAGGCAAAGATTTTCACTCTAAAATCTCTAAAAATCACATACATCTCAAAATAAGCAAAATATATATTTTTGACGTCAAAATTTAATCAAAATACTTCAGAATGGGAAGAAACAATTTTTTCAAAAAAATGGCAAATTAAGAGATTTAAAATTGTAAATTTTTTTGCTGTTTTTTAGGAAATTGGGTGTGAGTTTGCGTATTTTTTTGCTTGAAAATACATCACCACAAAAAGTACGCTAGAAGTAACATTTTATACTCTACTAATATCTATATTCCAGAATGAAAATTATCCTTAGGATTACTTATGCAACTTTCAACCTTACATGCAATGTGTAAAATTGAAAATTGCAGAAGATTTTGGCAAAGCAACCGAGACACATCTTCATATGTCCTGGTAAGCGACTCGATTTGCGCGACGCATATCCGTCTCCCGCCGAAATTGATATCGCCGGTTCCTCTCCGCTCACTAATGCGAATCACGCTCAAGTATTATAATTGTACGGAGGGTCCGGTGGACAAGTCCCCGCGTCGATTTCTCCTCAGCGAAAATGCCACAGGATTTCATCCATCATTCGTCGCTCGATTTGCAACGTTCAGTCTCTTGGCGAATTAAAGCACACTTTGGACGAGATTGCCTCCGCGCGCGCGCGAATATCTGAAATAAAACAGATACAAAGTACTCTTTCCATCTCGAAGCCATCTTCAAACTTGGCTGAAAACGTTTCCGACAGAAGCGTAAACACTTTCAATTGAATTAAAATCTCGCGAGGGAACAAAATCCAAAGCATCTTGGAGTTTTGCCATCTCGCGACTAAGCCCGCGTGCACATTTCGTGCGCATTTGTCCTACATAATCCTCGTGTAAGGGCAAGTACGAGACGCTAATTCGCCCGCCGTCGCCGCCGCTGTCGACAGTCGCTACGGTATCGTGTTGCAAAAATAACTAACAACGTGGAAAATAGAAGACTGCGAGAACGCAAGTCGCGGCCGTGACTCTCGGCGGCGACATTGGCGCGAGGCTAACACGTGTACGTGTATGCACGCGGCACACTCACACCTGGCGAGAGCGCGCGCGCGACTCTCTTTCTTTCTCTCCCTCTGTGTGTGTGTGTGTGTGTGTGTGTGTGTGTGTGTGTGTGTACACGTTGCGCTCGGAAAATACGGAAATACATACAGCGGTAGTCGTGTAATCGCTTTCGGATCGATGAGTTGTTCGTGTGTTCGCGGTCGTGACCGTTTCGCGAAAGCGCCGACACGTTTCGAGAGTATAATTGAGAAAATCGCGAACACGCGTCATTCAAATGTCCGCGCACGGCATCGCAATGTGTGACATGTGCGCGCACGTGTGTATGCTTGTATATGTATGTGTGTGTGTGCGTGCGTGCTCTCGCAAGCGCAAACTACAGAAAGCTGTGTTACCGTGCAGCTGTGTGCAATCCGAGCGCAGATCGATGAATTAGCATGTATCTGCGTATGTACGAGCTCAGGAAAGAGCTTGTAATACGCGTGCTGCGGCAGGTCGCATTAATTCCGGGAATTAATCAGCCTTGGCGGAACGCGACCTCCGCGTGTTTCAACGCGCGGCTCATAAACGCTGCATTACTGTCCGCGAAATGCAAGTGCACGCGAAAGCCGCGCTACCCGGCTTTGGCCCCGCTAAGGTCAACGATAGGCAAGGCTGTATATCCGCATGCAGGATGTATGAGTCAAAGGACTGCGACGTAGATACGGCAACGCGATGACGTCTATGTGCATGTCGTGCGAATCACCTGCGGAAGGGAAAAGTATATCGTTACTGTCAGATCGTTAAAATCAAGAATTCTCCTGCTCGGAAAATCCTCGAGGAAACGACACGATAACTTCATTCATCGATGAAGCACAACGCTGTTGTATCAGTAAAATCAACAGCGCCGTAATTAGAGTAAATATTCTTGATTTAACAACAATATTATCGAAACCAATGTATACATAATGCATTGTTTCGTTAACTCGGTTCTTAGTTTTAATAATATCGCTGTGGAAGCGAAAAAGTTTGCTCCAATTATGGCGTCGTCGACCGATTCTCTTGATAAACACACTCTCTAGATTTCTTGGAGTGAAATCTCACGTGAGAAGTGACCGCCGAGTGATTTTTCAGTTATACAAAAAATGCATTTTCCGTTCTGAATCGTCGAGTGAATATTTTTATTTAATATTTGACCTCGCGAACGTACTCCACTGTCACGGAAACACACTTCCTCTAGTCGATCGAAACATTCATTCATACAGAGTCAAAGTCCACTCTAAACTTCAGTTCACTCTTGCGATGTCGAGAGACGAAATTTCCACTATCGCTTCGAGTGACTTTTCACTCGTTTTGAGTAAGATTCCGCTCCAAGAAATTTAGAAAGCAACAGCTCATATTTTATTTCGCGCACGCGATATATAACTTGACCCAAAATATTGGCACGATTCATGAGATTCGCGAGAAGCAAAGAGAGAGAGTGCAGTGCAGTGCAAATAGCCGTTTATTGTTGACGCTTGATAACGGCTGAGGCGTTCATGATAAGCTCGCGAATGTCGAATATCTCACTTGTCACCGTGAATATCGTGCACAGTGGTCAGTGAACCGCGCGCACGGCCGTGCGTTTATATGAGCAGAAACATGACGCACGCCTTTTCACGCACGTGCATCACGCGATAAGCTCCTCCGAGCTCCGCGAAGCCACGAGCGAGCGTGTCTCGCTTGACATACACGTTCACCTCCGCTCCGCGCGCGCTGTGTATCCGCTTCCTCGCGCTTCATCGCTTCGACGGGAACCGTTGCTTTAACATTATATCGATAGCGTCGGTCAAACGAAGCGTCGTGAAAGCAAATAAAAAGCGCGGAACAGTTCGTGTGCGCGATGACGCGCGTCGTGTACGGAGAGCGGAGAGGCGCTGTGGACCTCCCGCGAGAGAGTAATCTCTCCTGTCTGCAGGAGCCGCCACCGTGATTCTCTTAGTATTTGTTCTAACGTTTGTCCGACTTCCGGCTCTTATATACCTTCGAAGAACCTCAATATTGATTCGATCCGCGTCTTTATCTTGACTCGAATGTGCACCTTATCTTATCTGCGTTAGTAAAGTGCAGCCTATCGCGCGGGTCTCCGTCACTGTATGGATTTCAAGTTCAATTCGTCGGATAGGTAGCCAGGTGGGTCTGGTGTATTAATTACGCGCAATTATTTTACGCAGGGTCTACGAAGAGATTGCCGAATATAATTATCGCGCAACATGTGAAGGACGTATTAGTGAGTAGTATTAGCGTGAGAAGTCCTCGCCCGTACAACACAAGAGTCCAAAATACATTCCAGAGACGATGTGACGTCTCTGGGATATATCTCGGACTTTTGGGCACATTAATTGCTCATTATTGCTATTATCTTGTTTTCAGATGGTTTCTGGCAGTAATGCCCTCATCGGAGGAGGAAAGCCAGTGGCTTGTTGGCAGTGGTGGCGGCGGCCTCGCACCCTCCGGCGGCAACACGACGAAAACAGGCGGCGGAGAACGCATCTTGAACACTAGGACCGGTCTCTACACCGAGGAGATGACGACGCAACCGGCGAGCGTCACCACGGCCGGCGTGAACTCGGCGTCGGCCGACTCCGCGGAGCACGATCTCATCGATTCTACCGCGGACGCTACTCTCCTGGCGCAATTCCACGAGGATGCCATTAAGCAGGTGATACCACGATTAAACGGCGCGAACAGGACCCTCCCGTCTTTTGTGTTTAGGTCAGTGCTGCGAGTTCAGGTAACTTTTGGGGCGTTCGCTTTGGGCGTTTACGCGCTTAAGCGTCATTCTATCTTTATCGCTCATTATCTGCGGGAAAAAGATAGAATGACGCTTACGGCGCAAAGCGCCCAAAGAGAACGCACCAAAAGTTACCCGAATTCGCAGCACTAGGTTAGGTCCAGCTCGAAGTTCGCGCTAACCTAAAAACCAAAATCGCGAGCTTTTTATTTCATTACCATTAACTGCCCCTTACTGGCTAACTTAAAGTCAATCTCCTTACATGATCCTCACTTTGCTCGCCCCTTTTTACACGACATAGTACCGTGTGTAGAGATTCTTAATCCTTGACGAGGTACGCTTAAAAAATCGTCAAACAGCCGTTATCCTGAATCAGTTAACCGATCGAGAAAACGCAACTTTAGAATGTATTTCATACCTCCTACAAGATATTGAAAGTGGAATTCTATTAATTTTTCTTTTACCTCCCTTAATTGCAAAAATAAACGTTGAAAAAGCTACCTTATTGTCCCTTATCTTGTACAACAGCAGCCATGAATATTTTCGAATATCAACGATTATCGATATGAAAGCGGTATCGATTTGTGTGTCAGAGAGTTATCGATACATGTATTGAAAGGTAGCGATTCAGCAATCGATTATAGAGATCGTACCAATGATAGAGCTTTAAATTCGAAAGACGCAACTTTATTGGCCGTCGGGGATAGTTAGCCAGAGCGTCAAGTGCAGAATGTGAAGTGCAGAATGCAGGAGATATAATAAAAACATAACCTAGGTGAAATGGCGTCGTTTTTTGCCAAACCATTTACTCACGGTGAATGACTATTCTCTTCCTCGCGAGTCTAAGTCCCTTTTATCCCAGCAAGATGGACGATGTTCTGGACGAGTCGATTGTCAAACCAAAATACGTACCACGCGAGGTACCGGGCTATTTAAAGGATTTCCCAGTAAATATTCCTTGCCTGACACTTCGGTGGTGATGGTGTTAGTGCTGGTGGTGACAGCAGTGATGATTACATTCGTTTGTCTCACTGCTGACGCTCCAAGTTTTCATTTAAACAAACAGAAAAAGATAACATTGGACAGTGTTGAGTGACATAACGATGGCCTTGCAATGTTACAGGCTGGTGTCGGTTACTTCCAGATATTCGCTGCTTTCTGCACAGGCTTGAGTCTTGCTGCAGATACCGTTGAGTTTTTCGTTGTTCCTTACATATTGCCAAGTGCAGAGGTCGAGTTGTGCATCGAAGACAGTGAGAAAGGATGGCTTGGTTAGTTATCGTTGTGATTCTATTGTGTAAACTTTTATATTGCTAACATCAACATCATGTTTCAGGCAATATTACTCTTGTTGGTCTTGCATTGGGTGGACTATTCTGGGGTGGTCTTGGAGATAGACTAGGGAGACGCAGATCTCTCTTATCGGCTATGTCTGTGCATGCTCTATTCAGTGGTGTCGCTACATTTATGCCTACTTATGGCACTTTTATGACAGCTAGATTTTGCTCAGCTATTGGGTAAGCACCTTTTAAAAAATTAAAAAAGAAACTCTTTAGAAAGAGAGAAATAAAAATCAGAAATTAAATTAAAACAATATAAGAATTCTAACACAGATGATTCAGTGCAATAAAAAACTAATAAAAATTAGTGACTGTTCTCCATGCTATGTGGGAGAAATTTTATTTATTCATTACAGCATGATTAAATCAGCATAAAAAATGGCGACATTTAATCATGCTATAATGAATAAATAAAATTTCTCCCATATTGCATGGAGAACGATCACTAATATTTTTATTAGTTTTCTATCGCACTGAATCATTTATGTGTTAGAACTCTTACATTGCCCTAATTTAATTTCTAAGCACCTTATCTTCATCTTATACACAGTTTGGTATCATACAATCGATTTGATATTGTTTATATTGATTAATGTATTTTTTTTAATTTGTCTCGTTGCAGAGTTGGAGGAAGTGTACCGTTGGCATTTGCCTATCTCGCAGAGTGCTGTCCACGGTTAAGCAGAGGCCGTTGGACAGGAATACTCGTGACAGCTGGAGCCCTTGGAGGTGTCTATGCTGCTCTCTTGGCATGGGCAGTTGTACCTACCACAGGAGAAATGGTTGTCCTTGAAAATAAGGAACACTTCAGCGCCTGGCACCGTTTCCTGTTACTGTGTAGTCTGCCGGCGTTGTGTTCCACAATCGGTCTCATCTTCCTGCCGGAAAGTCCAAGGTATCTCGTAGAGGCCGGTAGAGACGTGGAAGCGATGATGGTTTATCAGGTATGCTTAACATAGTCAGGGACAATTGATTCTTCTGATTTGTAAGGTGCACATCTCTGTATCTTTTATGATAATTTAATGTCTCAGAGGATATATAAGAAAAATAACGCACGGAAAGGTGCAACAGGTGCTCAATATCAGCTCTCTGAACTGGAACTACCGACTAAAAGACCTCGTGGCTTAGCGCCACCTTCCCCGAGCAATCATACCAGTGTTCTGGCCGATATAATATATTCGATCGAAATGGTAAGCACCGTCGAATGTGCGTCTCTGACGTGATTACGTGAATTAATATTCTAACAATAATATTCACACTTAGTTCTGGAATTCTTTTCTGGAGTTGTTTGCGACGCCTCACTTGCGCGTGACTCTAATCCTGTTGACTATTTGGTCGGCCGCTTCGTTTAGGTAGGTTTGTCGATGTTTGAATATTTACTATTACTGTAGTTAGATTTCACGAAAATTCACCCCGTTTATGCTACGCTCAGCCTTTACGGTCTGATGATATGGTGCCCTGAATATCTGAAGCTCTTGCGAGCGATTGAATACGAAGCACACACGCAACATATTCACAGAATGGATTTTAATGGCACGACATTCAGTGGCTCTTGGGAAAATCGCCAGTACAAAGACTCGACATTTTTTAACTGCAAGTACGAACGTTGTTCCAATAAAATAAATTGTAACATAGATATTTTACAATTGAAAATACTACAACTGATCATACTTCGTAATTTCTAAATATTTTCAGGTTCACTAAAATGGTATTCAGCCATGTAGACTTTGATAATTGTACTTTCCAGTCAGTAGAATTCAGTAACATTAAATCTAGCAAAACTCATTTTAGAGACAGTGTTATTGTATATTCCAAGTAAGTGTATATTATATATATAGTCATATGTTACATATATGAGACACTGAGCTAAAATATATCTTGTTGCAGGTTTGTTGACACGGATTTATCTGCGCAAGTTTTCACCAGGTGTAAATTGGAGAACAACACGGAACTGAGTTTAAGCGGGTCATGTCCGACTCTCGATCTGGACTACAACATTTATATCGAAGAAGCGTTGCATGCTCACCTCGTTGCTCAACTGGCTTTCGTGCCTGCCGCCGCACTGGCGGGCCTGGCACTTACGATTCTTCAGCGGCCAAAATTGATCGGTCAGTAGACCTTGGACGAAGGTAACGAGTACAATTTTCTGATACGACTCGCTCACTTGATAAGCATTCGTTCTTTGCGTTTCAGGTTTCTCGCTGTTTTTCTCTTCTGTTGTTGCACTGTGTCTGATATTAATACGCAAAAATAGTTCAGCGGTTCTTGGCTTCGAGGGTGGCTTCATAGCAGTTTTCGCGGTTGGTTGGACATCGTTAACTTTGGCGACAGTCGAGAGCTTCCCCACGCACTTGAGGTAATGGAATGAGAAACTTCTCGTTAAAGAATGAAAAAGAAATTAATTCTTTTCAAGGGAAAGATGTTCGTTGTGAGCTTTAAAAATGGCACTCACGTGATGTCATCACGTTTTTACAGGTGTACCGGTTTTGGACTTATAGCAGCAGCAATAAGAATATCAGGACTGATAGGAACTACGATATATCAGGCATTCGTGACTGCACCGTTAATCGCGCCTGCACTGTTAACCGCGCTGACATTATTGATCGCCAGTGTTGCGACTCTTAAATTGCCTCATACTCATACTGTCTTCTTATAAGCTTTTCGTTGGCCGAGAAGAACAGCAGCGACGTTTATCTGAATTCAACATGTTGTTGCGTATGAGGCAACGAACGAGAGAATTCGTTCTGTGAATTTGAAAGTCGGATTTTCAAAAGAAAGTCCCGAGTGCGTCAGAGAGACGGAGCAGAGGAAGGAGGAAGCTAGTTTCCTATATTCTTAGGATTTACTTGGGGAATAATGTTCAAGAGACGCATGTCAATAATTTATCGATCAAAAAAGGAAAAGAATTTTTTAGAAAACGAGACTTTGTACAAAGTGACATATCCTAAGTAATATCGAAGATAAGGCACTGTTGTCTCTGAAGACACTTGCATACTTGAAGCGCACAGAACGTTTCTAGTAACTTTAACTTGTTGATACAACAAAGTTCCCGAAGTTGGATTAAAGTGCTCTCATATTCTATCGCTTACGTGAGTTCACTAACAAACGCGAACGAACGAAAAAAAGAAAGAAATAAAGTAAGAGATTCCAAGATCGGACGATAAAGTGGTCGAAGTGATTTCTATACGCAAGATATTCTCTGAAATTATATGATTACTCCGCTGTTTTATCTTTGATGATATAAAGCGTTACACAAGTATCAAGCAAAGGATATGCAAGATATATACACACACCACATACACATATACACATGCAACTATTTTAATAAGGCGTATGCCGCAAAACGTGTCAATTTTAATGGATAGAGAATGCGCAGTCATCCGTAATGATACGTCGTATATAATAAGAGATGTAAATTAGAGAATTTTCTGGTATATTATCGGCAGTGCAATTTGATATCTCAATTATTCGAGAGATACACGAAGATCATAGAAGCTCATACATAGCTGTTCTTACTTTCAATCGATAGGCTAACCGTGCATGATGTGAAACTTCGACATCACTCCGTCATAGCTGACGGATGGATACACTTATTCGCTCGGACGCAACCACATAAAGCGCTACACAAAGATCCACAACGTATCGGACATGCGGGGTGTATGTGCGATCGTTTTGTATGTTCTCGCGAGGAACATCTACTGGAAGAGAAACGAAGATGCGAGATTCGCTTCACGCGCGGAGAACATTCCTATGAACGGGGAGTGATCAAGCAATTGTATATTCAGTACTTCCGCTTTTTACCAATTTATTAGCATGCATTAGATCCATTAATTAGACGCTAGATTTCCGCTGATTCAATGACTGAGAGAAAGAGAGAGAGAGAGAAAGAAAGGCATTATTCACACAATATAAACGCTGCCGTATGAAACCTCAATTCATATAGATGAAGACTTTCGGACGGGAAAGAGATAAATGATGCAGCTTTATAGCGTAAATCCAAGAGATTATCGCCTCTAGTCAACGTTAATCGTCTCTAAGCTTACGGTACGTTCAATTGTGAACATGTATCTGACTCTCCAGTGACACGTATATAAGCGAATAACGTAGAACGTTATTTTCTACAAGACACAAAACCAGAATTATACAGGTCTTCACGTATTTACACACACACACACACACACACACACAATACAGACACGATATAATATCTCTATAGTCCACTTTTGGGGAAACTTTGCTAAAGTTTTACTGTCGCTGACACAATAAGCAACGGATGAGTGGCGAAGTAATGTGAACATAAGGAGTTCCTTGAGAAGGAGAGAGAGAGAGAGAGAGAGAGGAGAAAGGAGGCAACCTATTTTCTAGGCAATAAGGACGTAAATAAGAAGTTAGCGGCGTTGTTCTGTATACAGGAACTCGAGGATACGCTTCGCCGAGTCTTCGCGAAGAATTTATCAGACAGGGAGGAGCTGCTGTCGGCAGACTTAAATAGTATAAATGTTTACGTCCCATCACGGTTAGTGAGTTTTTTCATATCAGATTGTTGGCGATCGATCTATATCTATACGGGAGAAAGAGAGATTATAATATTCGGGCTGAGGTTTACGGACGTCGTCGTTTGAGAGAGAAGTAGAAACGATGGAAGATCGTTCAATTGGCCGATCAACGCGAACGCCATTATTACATTCCAGCGATTATCCTGGGGATGATTTCATATTGTTTTCCCGTGAGTAAAAATTTCAAAAAGAAAGTATAAACGATTCGTTTCTGCTTTTAGGAAAAGAAGGTCGCACACTCGTCGTAAACCATATTTGGTCGTGTCGGTGCCGCTGTTGCGATTCACCATTGCTTTATCGAGACACACATTGATGTCAATTGGGACTTGATGATAAAAAGTGAGCATGTACGTGAAAACTCAACGTTGGGGACCATGCGATGCTCTTATCAGTTCTGCTTCTTTTTCATACATTGGAAGTCGGTAGATGAAAAGAAAACGTTGCGATTCGCAGTGATCAGACATCGGCGCCGACACATATCACGTATATACACACACACACACAACATATGCGAACACATGCGCGCGCGCAGCCTCACGTATAATTAATTCTACTCTACAACATTCAGATTTATCATCACCTCCGTAGATATATTACATTTTACTCGACATATCATATTTATGAGTCAGCACTCTAGATTCGTAGGCCTTAGTCGGACTATTGACTAGGACACGTAGGGAAATACGATAAAGGCGATCGTGCGGGATGACTCTCTCGAGACTAAAGTAAAGCACTGATCGAGCAGAGTGAGTCTGTCATGTCGCACTATTTCCCGAACTTATGTTTCTTTAGCGAGTTACGTTAGTCGTATAGCGTGTACATTATTGTTTTGCGCACAGCGCGATTATCAACTGATTGACAGCGACGTCGCGATAAAACACCGAGATTGTCAAATTATTATATGCCGTTTCTGCGCCACGGAATGTGTCGCATTACATATCACGTCATATCGTTATCCAGTATGGACGAACGATCAGTTGATAGTCGTCGTGTCACACAGAGAGACTGCTTCTTATTGTTAAAACTGAAAACTGTTTAGTTAGTTAAGTTAAGGTCTCGTTTTTTTCACGTACGTATAATCAACGGTCATCGACACGGGAGATTTTGGGAAGTGTTTCAATTTTCCTCTGTAATTTATATCCGCACAGAAAAAAAATAACTCCGTTAGTATGACTGAGTTTTCTGTTACTTGGGGGCCAGGTGAAAAACTCGGTTGTAGGAACAAGATCTCTGTGGGAGGTTTCTGCTCAGCCAATTATTCTCACCTGACGCAATTACGGTCACCTGAACCAAGACGCAGTAACAGAGATATGATTTCTTCATCCGCGAATTTTTTTACCTGATCCCCATTCAGCTATGCGAACTGAAATCTTCTTTTCCGCGTGCACTCGATATAGTTTTCAATCGTCTTATTAATACACGGGAATCGATTTTCAAGCGTGACTTTTAGTCAAGTCATAACGCAGGAGGAGAAAGAGGAGCGTACGTATATAATGGGACACGCGTGTGATGGTTTTTCTTTTCTAATAGCATTACTACGAAATTCATATCATTATTTTTAGCGAATTGAGATGTAAAATTAATCAGCAGCAATACTATCATACGCCAATGAGGTACTATCAGTCGAATAGAGGCATATCGAAATCGTGCTCGAATCCTAATAAAAATCCTAATAAGAAGAGATATCTTAAATATCAATGTGTTATCGTTACTTCATATCGTTACTGATGCACAACGTGTATCAATATCTGTACCTTGCGTATTATATAGGCAGTAGGAATATGAATTCCGTGCTTTTGCTCTCGAGTTTTCCCGTCTGATCGGTTGTGTAATCACATAACAGTCCATTACGATTGGGTTTCACGAGTACTGCACAAGACGCTGCGTCACAAAGACGGGGACGGATGTCTTATTTAACATGTTCGCCACCACCGTCGCGCATAAGATCTCTCACTTCATGTTCATCTCTGCGAAAAACTAGAGATTCCACTCAACTCGTTATACATGTGTATGATAACGGTATTTTTCTTTCTCCGCACATAAACAAAGTCTGTTTTGTAAAATTACATGGAAACACACAGAAATAATATGGTCTGTGGAAAGAATTATCCAAATCAGCCGTGGAAGCGGACGTGTTAAAATGATCGGCGATATACGTTCGAGAAGGTGTAACATGCGTTTTATTCGCGCAATCAACCGGTACGGTAATAGTGTGACGCCAAGTACATAAATGAGGATTTACTGTTGATTTGCTCGAGTAAAATAGCAGCGCTTCAAGCCGAAATTGTAAAGAATTAAATTAAATGTTAAGAATTCTTGTTTTTCGCAACAAAATCCGTCACGGATTTCACGACGACGGGCAATTTTGTTTCGAAGCATCCGGATAGAGAAGGAGAGAGAAAGAGAGAGAGAGGCTGTCGTTTGTTTAGAATATACTTTCGCGGAAATCTTAAATCGCGCGCTTGCGTGAAAACGCGCGCAGAAATGCAAAAAAAAAACAATTACTATGCGTATTAGAGCGATTAATTTATTTATATCATTGCGACTGGATAAACTCTGTCTTTAGCGCGAGCTGCATGTGTAATCATCGCTCTGTGAACTCGATTATCTTTCGATCGTTCAGTTTGTTGACTCGTTTGTACATAGACCTTAGCGATAGCTGGTGATTTCATTCCGATCGGGATAATTAACGCAGTCACGTGGTGCTGATGATGTGTTGTCACATGTTTTGCTCACATAGCGCATCCCGCTGTATTATAGACGAAAGCAAGCCTACAAACGCTCGCTCCTCGCGATTCTTTCGTCGGCATGGAGGATAATGCATGTCCGATCGATTTTCACGGGATTCCCCCGTCTCGTCTCCCCGAGAATATCCCCACGTGACTGCGTGAACGGGACGTGTAATTTACGAACGGATTGGGACGTGCGCGATCGCACGAACGAATAATACGCAGCGACACGCGATATTTTGTATGCTTGCAACTTGTACTTTCGAGCTGTGTACGTTTTTATGCTCTTAGACCGCGAGTCCGTGAATGTGTCGTAGCAATAATTTGATAAAAAAAAACTGCTCTTTGAAAATTGTTTATTGTATAGAAATACGTGGATCGATGCGTGAAGCATCTCGAAAAATTCGTGGTTTGCCAGAAGAGAGATGCTGTGTAATATCGTATATTTATGAATACTTTCGATTCTCCCGACTGCGAAGAAGCATAGAGGTGGCGAACGGTTTCGGGGCTCCGTTTATATTTTGATCTCGAGATACAATTTTCTTCTCTATAGCGAAAGTTGCGACGTGTGGCGAGATTTAAAAATAATTTGCAAACTGTACGAATGACATAAATGAGAAGTTTATTGAGTCTAGAGGTACGTCTATGCTTTACCCCTCCTGCGTTGCGCATGATGCTTTCGCTGGAAGTTTATAATTTCGCAGTTTTATTTCTTCACATCTCATTAGTGAGAAAAAAAGAATATTATAATATTAGTTAGTTTGTCGAATTTATGAAAGAGCATAAGTACGTTTTTACTCATTGAATTCACTGCAATGAGGGTGTAAAAATATATAAAACTGTATTGTTTAAGAAATGTCATAAAAGTCTGAAACATAATTTACAAATAATTTATTCTGTCGATAAAAAGATGCTCGCGCTAATTGATATACATTTACTGTACACTATTATTACTATTGCGAAATCGATTTTTCTTTAATTGTTCTATAAGAAAAAGAATGGACAATTCGAATTTCCCGCGGATAAAGAAGGGATCTACCCGCGCGACAGTCGCGCCTATCCTGGCGCCATCTGAAGACGTCCAGTGTCATCACCATCAACAGACGATTTTCTAATGACGTCGGTACCCGCGGCGATTGAAGAGTAGTAAAATTTACTTCATTGTATAAACAACGACTGCAACAAGAGAAAATTCAACAATGGCAATTCAGACTTAGCGTTAGGTATACTTTTTACAAATACACATTTATATATTCGTTCGTACTTTCGTGCGTGTAACTACAGATTTCCGGCGATCGCGTTGTAACCTGTACTTTTGCTCGCTTCTCAATTATTGTCATTATCCTCGATCGTATGTGAAGCGCTGACACGATATAACGTTAATTAATTTAACAGCGCGTATTGATATCCCCGGTGTATTCCGACGAACGACGCGCACCACATCCTCGCGATCGTTCTCAGCGATTGTTGACCTTGAGCTTGACCTTGGGCGTGCCCGTCCCTCTTGCATGACCGGCCGCCAAAGGATAATACGTACGAAGATGATCATGCCGAACGAGCCCTGACCTAACCTATTCTAGGCTATGTCTCTGTCCTCCCATACAGACAAAGCCTAGGAGAGGCTAAACCAAGTTACTCGTTTCTCCTCATCGTCCTCATCTGGCCCTGTTCTTCATTTTTTTATCTTTTTCCCGCAGTCTCGTTGCCGAGGTAATCCCTGCTCCCACACCTGAAGACGTCCTCGCTGAAATGATGTGTGAAGCGCTTTAAGAGCGATTAAGAGCTGCAAAAGTTTCGCACAAAAAGCGATGCTGTTTTTGTGGGGTTTCGGAGAGGATGAAAGAGAGATACTTCCTTTTCAAGGTCTGAGGGGTTTATCTATGGATCGGTGATAGCTGATTCGTGCGTGTCATGCCGTCGTTCGAGGTGTCTCAGTCAAAATCGGGTCTTGACAACTTCGTGTCTGCGACAAGCGAAATTAAAATTTAGGTTTCTAAATCCTTACGTTTTATTTACTTTTTTTCTTCTTGATCTGTATGATTATATGGCCACTTAACGTTGCGCAGGTTCTCAAGCGGCCTTTAGTCCAAGTTTTCGAGATCTGAAGATGAAACTCAAAGATCTCGAAAGAGTAGACAAACTGGACAATAAAATTGAACGATATGCCCTGAAAAAGTTCTGTATAATTGGCGGAATCGCATCATCTAATAAATTAGCCACATCCTCAAGTTTTCATCCTGATTCTACCGTGATTAAAAAGGTATATAAAAAGATAATTAGAAAGATATATAAAAAAATAATTAGAAAAATATATCCACAAAGTGACATTTGCAATCGATTAAGCACATCTTATAAAATACTCCCAACACTTTTTTTTTTAATAGTCAACGAATAATCATAAAATTAACGTGACATGTAATTCTCCTTTTCAACCTGACATTTCCTCATTGCTTTGTCACGTCAATTTTACGATTATTTATTGATTGTTGGAGCGAAAGGATAGTGTTTGCTAGTATTTTGGAAATGTATGCTCAATCGAATTTGCAAATGTCATTTATATTGTGAATATATTTCTATATTTCGACGTGCTTTGATAGAGCAATTTTGGGCATGCATTTCCCCGCTTCTGATGTCATAAATCAAAATGGCCGCAGCGAGGTTCCAGGTGCCTTATAAGTAGCACAGTATACAGCGAAAAAGTCGTCAAGAAGCTCTCATGTTGGCCGACAGCGTTATCGCGCCAAGTGTTAAGGAGTACGATAGACACGCGTAAGAAAAGGAGAGATGAAAGAAGCGTCATTTTAACAGTACCGCGCGTGCTTTTTGCGATGAGTTATTTTAGTGACGGTGGTTCGACCGACACAAAGAAAGCGTGTCACGCCTAAAAATACGCGGGGCACGCAGGTAGACATGGAAAGGTCGTAGGGACCCCGGGACGGAATACTGGGAGAAAAAAAGGAGAGACGGGCAAGAGAGGGAATTGCACAAGAGGCGGTGATTTGGTATTCAAATCGCCGGACGCGCGCCCGCCTCTCCTCTCTTTTTATCTCGTGAAGGGTGTCTTTGTCTCTTGATTGTCTCAACCAAAATGCAATTGCAATAAGAAAGTAAGAAATGGTATATAATTTTGTGTAGTAATTGCGAAAACACGAGCACAGGGGAAGAATTTATTTGTATCAATGTGAAGTTTGGTTTTAATCGACGAATTAACAATGCGTTTTGGTTGAAGGACACGGAATTTCTGGTTCTTGTGACCCAAATTTCGTTCCAAGAACCAGAAGCTCCTTCCGCCAAAATGCGTTGGTTCGTTCATTACTACCACGAAATTCATCTTAATACAAAACCTCTCTCCGTAAACAACGCGAAAGTTCAAGAAGTCTTTACTATTCTGATAAAAAAGAATACTTAGAAATCTACTCATGTATTCACTACGATAAATTTCACAAAAACACACTTTATATTCCGCAAATAAATGTTCAAGTATTTCTTCTCAGTGTAAGATATTCGAGGCTTAGACTGAGAAAAAATATTGGAAAATTTATTTGTAGTATATGAAATTTATTTACAAAAGAAACTTTGTATCCAACAAATAAATTTTCAAACATTTTCTCTAAGAGAAGAAAGCGAGCGTTTAATCAAACATCAGAAGCGGCATATATGTTAATTCATGACATTTATATTTTATTACCAAATAGAACCACAGTGTCGAAATGTTCTTCCACGTCCGCTGGTAGACACTGATTGGTTCTATCCTCCGGCTAACTAAATCTACCGCTGTTAGTTAGGCATTTGTAATATATCTTGTTCCGTGGGTATTCTGTTATGCCAGCTACTACTGCAAGACGAAACTTTACATTTCAGCGTGTCACGGCCCTTATCACGTTTGGGTTCTTGGATCCTTCAGATTCCCTCGCACTTTCTAAAGCTGTCGCCGTTATGTAAACGTTCGACGTATCCTCGGTTAAGTGCGTTCAAGGCCTCTTCTCCACGACGGCAGCGGCGGCGGCGGCTTCGCGATTACTGTACCGATACATCGAAACGGAAACAACTGACGTCATTTTCTAAAACTCGACGGCAAACGGGAGAACACATCGCAGGTATGAGAACTTGTGTGTATATATATGTGTAACTGATCTGACTCTCTGTACTCTGTTAAATCGAGTAGACAGCGTTCTGTTGATCTTCGCAGCTGAGAGCGATCTCGATCGAAAGAGATGGAGCACTCGCCAAGAGTAAAATGTAACAACGTCGTGCACGTCGCATGAGGATGACACGAAAAAGATAACGTCCTCAAGAACAGTGCCGCGAACCGCAAGACGCACGTCCCGTGCGTGGCGCCGGTGATTTCACCGTTCTGTCATCATCGAGCCGCGCATTGCGGTTTATGATCGCCGTGCTGCGCTCGCCGAGGCGATGACGAAAGTGCCAGCAACGGTCTCGTACTGCACCTATGTGGAAACCCCGTGTACACACTCTCTCCTCTTCTCTCTCTCTCTCTTACCCTCGAAACATTGGGAAACGCAGCACACGATGTAAGTTTCGAAGGGAAGCGAGAACCGCGCAAAACGAACGCGTTCGGTCCGACTCGGCTGAGAGGGGAGAGCCAGCCGTCGGAGAGATTTCAACGTCCGCACGTGCGATATCTCCCTCGACTCTTCTCTTCTTGTTTTACCAGCGTCTTACTTCATTAATCGCACTAGCGTTTTGTATATTAGCGTTTGTCGGGTTTCCCAATCGCTAGAAAAAGTCTCGTTTTCTTTCACCAGTACTTCTTTCACACGCTATCATGGTTATCCAGCGCGCGAGTGTCTCCTGATCAGAGCGAGATATCGAAAGAGATCTTCAGCACATCGCAGAGCGCTGCCACTGCCATTAGCAGCGGGGCGGTTACGCAAAAACGGAAGTGCTCCGCGTTGTTTTCCTGCGTCTCACTTTCTCCGGCGTGGCGATCACGTCTGACTGTCTGGCCACGTGTGAAAACGGAGAGGATCTCTCGCGAGAAAGACGATGGTTCACTTGAGTTTCGCCACTGCCCCGCGACAACGGCGGCGAGGACGATGACGACGGGCAACAGCGACGTCGCGATTAACGCGCCGATCACTCGCGAGGTCGCGATCGGTCCCCACCGTAACTGCGACGGTCCCGCGCGACGTCCTTGCCGCACGTATCGCCGCGATGATCGTTCCTCGAGGCGAACGGCGCGATTTCGTTGATTTCGATGCCGACGTTCTCCTTGTTTTGCCCTCGCTCTTCCATTCCTCGTCGCGCTGTCGTCTCGCCGTGATCGCTAATTGTTAAAACTAATCGCTCGGCGTTGTCGCTGTACAATTTCACCAATATCGCATTGTCTTCTCTCCATTAATCACTTCGTTACCGTTGCAGCAACTTCCCGATTTGGAAGGAAGCATGGCGTGGCCGCGCGCACTGCGAATTTCGAACGGCCCACAACGCGAGAGGCGTATCACGTGCCCCCCGGGTGTCAGGGCGCGAAAGGCGAAGCGTGAGAACGAGACGCGACGAGCGAAGTTTCGTCCGAACGGGGCGTATTCACGGCGGTGGATCGCCCGCTGTGAAGAACGGAATGCCCCGACGATGACGACGATTATGACGCCGCCGCCGCCGCCGACGACGATG